ACGTCCATGACCATCCTCGAATGCCTCCCCGCGATGTGATACCGTCACCATATGGTGATTTTGTTGCCTCCCAAGTTGCGCGTCTAAAAATGCCAAGTAACGCCGTGACAGAGCTGTAAAAACGCAATGCAGTTCAAAAACCCTCAATAGAAGTGTGGGTACTGTACGAGAATAAGACGATGGCAAAAGAAAACTAATCACCACCTGATGGCACGTCGCGCCTGGTATCGCCCTTGACGACTCGCAGTCAACTACCACTGCGTGTCCGGGACGGCTTGCGCCGCCGTGGTATCGCCCCAAGGGAAGCCACCATTCTGCTCCTTATTGGGCGTTGAATCCCAAGCTCCCGGCATCTTGCTCGAAGGGTCGTCACCACCAGTGTTGCCCTTGCTCCAGTCGTCTGTCGGGCCCCAGACGTGGCCAGAATCAGCGGCATCTCCAGGTGCACCAATTGGGCCGGCATTGTTAGTCCAATCTTCGGCAGCCGCAGTCAATTTCTGCGATTTGCTGGACTTCTTCGAACCCCCAGAACCACCCGACTTGTTCGAATTGCCGCTGCTGCAGCCGACGTTATTGCTCGAATCACACCAGTCGTCAGCCTGCGGTTTCGCCGCGCTGCGATTCGACGTCTTTGAGCCTTTGGAGTTGTTGGAACTAGTAGCCCAGTGCTTGTTGGTGTTATTGTCCCAGTTGGGGTTCCAATCAGCTTCATTTTCGTTGCTGTGACCATTGCTGGTGGCAGCCCACTCTCCCCCATTCGCGCCAGCCCGGGATGAATCGTTGTTCGCAGTCCATGTGGCTCTGTTGGATCCGTTCTGGCTTTCATTACGCATATCACTATTTCCATCGGTCTGCTTCCAATTAGGTCTGCCCTGGCCGTTCCTGTCAGCAAAGGCTTTCATGTGTGTAGGGCCCCAAGATAGGTCCTGATGCTTTGCCCTCGAGCGGTCGTTGCTGTTATTGCTGCCGTTTGTACTTCCTTGCCGAGCCTCATCGCGATTATACATGGCAGGGCCCATGTTATTTTGTAGGCTCCCGTCCCAGTAGTCCTTGGTGCCAGGGGGAATGCCGCTCTTGGACTTCCCCGGGCCTTTGCCCAGATTTGCATACCTCTCCCGGCCCTCCTTGGTCCATGGATCAGGTCGAGCCGCATACGAGTACATGTTAATGTTTATAGGAAGTGAAGGAGATACCTGAAAGCTATTAGGACACTTCGATAAGATGGAAACACTTCTGTTAGAGACTCACCTGCTTAGCGCTAACCGGCGGTCCAGTTTTGGTGTCCCAAGCTCTGTCCTTGTCCCCAGCTGTCATCGAGGGGATGCCGCCATTCAGCGCACCGGACATGAAGGGCGGCGACATTTGCTTTATGGGCCCATGAGACCCCCTCCTACCCGCAAACATATCCTGGACCCAAGGAGTTGGGGCAGGAGCCGCTCCGACACCGTCAGGGCCGAAAGGGGGCTGTGGGTCGCCAGGCCGTGAGCTAAGTGAGAAAGAGTTCCAAGGGGCTTGACCACTGAATTGCATGTCTCCTGGGTTAGAGGGTTGGTGAAACCCTTGTTGCCAGGGGTTGCTCGCAGGATGCGGCATACCGGCTGGCAAGTTCGCTCTCGTGAGGTCTCTCCGCGGGTATAACATGCCGTGTGGATTGCCATAAGCAGGACCATGATAGACACGCACAATGCCATGCTCGCCGCTATGGTAGGCATTCGGTCGAGGATCTTCGGCTCCCTCAATCGTGTGTTCGACCTGCAGGACCTCGGCGCGAATTGGCATGATAAGGTTGGGTAGTCGTGGATGCGGCTGGGGAAAGCCTTCGGGCCTTAGCTTTTCTAAGCTTGAAGCCAAGGATGAAGGCCCGTTCTTCTTTCTCTCCTTGGCCTTTCGATCTTTCTTGCTCATCGGTCCGACATTGTTATCCTTAGCCACAGCCTTGTCCTTCTTGTCCTTGGGCTTGGGGTCCTTGTCAGACTTTTCACCCTTCTTCCTGATCTTTTTCTTCTGGGACTCATCTTCGCAGTCAGAGTTCTCATCGCTTGCTTCGTCTTCCCTACCCACTCTTCTTTTCGAATGTTTATTCTTTCTGTTGGTTTGCCTTTTATCGTGCTTTTTCTTGTCGGATTTCGCGTTCTCCGAGTCGGACGAGTCGTCAGCAACGGCAGAACTGGACTTGTCCTTCTTCCCGTTCTTTATTTTCTTATTATTCAACGTCTCTTCATCGGAGCTAGATGAGTCGTCTCCTTTGACCAACTTGGCTTTTCTTTCGGTCTTCCTGTTCTTGGCTAAGGTGGTATCAGTATCCGCAGTATTCTCTGCCAGAAACGTCAGGATGTAGCAGGTTGCTTAGAAACAGCTCACCTGAAGCCTCGTCGGCTGACTTATCACCAGACGTCTTCTTAGAAGATTTGGACGAGTCAGAGCTCTTAACAGAATCCCCAGTCGTCTTACTCTTAGATCTGGATCCTTCAGCATCGGAGGCTTCCGAGTCGGATCCCTTCCTGATGACGGACTTGGCGGGCCCCTTCTCGAATCGGACCTTCTTCACCATCGTATCGGTCTTTTTGGCGCCACTAGAACGCGGGTACGTGATCTTGAGCGTGTCTTCCTCAGACTCGTCGTCGGTGGAAATTTCAACCCGGAAGCGCTCCTGTCTGCCGCGGCTCGCTTGCTTCTGTCGACGACGCTGCTGCTGAGCGTGTATCTCCTCAACGGTGAAGCCCAGGGCCCACTCGCAAAGAGTAGGCGTTCTCTGTTTCTTGACCATGGTCAGAGTATTTCAGCAGCCTGGTGTAGATGGATAAAGATGCTGTAGATTTAGGGTCCCCGACTTTGTCGCTGCCACTGTCGAATGGTAAGCCGTGAATCCTAAATTGAATGTATCAGCCAAGCGCGAGGATCCCACAGAGAATCTCAGAGAGATGCGCCGAGTGTATTCCTAGCGGGTTCGGCCACGTTTTTCATACTTTACCTGAACTAATGTGATGCAACGCTTCTCATGGTTTTGTCGGCACGTTGAAGGTGCAATCCACAGCTTCAGTGTCGGGCTGGTGTTGCGGAAGAGTAAGAAATCCGAATGCCAGGGCGTTTGGATAGCTGTACACAGATGGCGTCTCATTCGAGAATCTAAGAAAGCAGGCACGCAATTCTGGCATCGAGTGCAGGAAGGAGCAGGTTTGTCCGCCCGCGAGCTGCCACTAGCTCGCGTAAAGGTCAGGCAGCTGCATTGGAAAACACGCGCCAATACTGAATACAATTGAGAAAAGAGAATGACGAAAAGGGACAAGGCCTCCCAATTGAATATAACCGCTGCGCTCAAATGACCAAGACCTCCGATTATGTCTCTAGTTTCTCGTTCACAGCTTTGCCCTTTCTGCCAGCTCCTGTTCATGCCACTGCTTGTTGATGCGCCCATTCTGCCAGTACCTGAACAACCCGACGAGGATCGCCAGGGGCGGCGCCCCGAGAAGCAGTAAGTTCCACCACCCGGGTGACTTGGCCTTGATTCCCTTGATGGCTTCGCCGATCTGCTTCTCCAGCTCCTCCCTTGACCCGTCATTCCAGAGTACCAGCCCCTTCCCCTCGCCCCTCGCCTCGCACCGCCTCGCCTTCTCCCGGACGTCACCCTGGCTGATGACTCTGTTCCTCGCGTCCTCCTCGCTCAGATGCGCGTCTCGCGCCCTCAGTCGCGCCATCTGCACCTCCGGGTCGCGCACTGCCACGACAGTGACGATGCCGCACATGCGGTCCATTCCCGCCTCGAAGAGCAGCGGCACGTCGAGCACGACGGCCCAGTTCCCGCGCAGGTAGCAGCGCAGAATGGCGCGGTACATGGCCCATCGCACGGCGGGGTGGACGATTCCGTTGAGCACGGCGCGGTCGGCGCGCCGCTCAGGGGTGTCGCCGAAGACGCGGCGGCCGAGGGCTGGTCGATTAAGGGGACGGCCCTTGCCGTCTGGTCCACGCGCCGGCATGGTCTCTGAGGCTGGGACGAGAAGATCTGATGTCGAAGAGGCAAAGTGCGAAACGATGGCGGCGTAGCCGCTCGTGCCAGGCTCGACGACCTCACGAGCGAGGAGGTCGGCATCGATGATAGGGATAGAGTAAGGGGGTTGGGAGAGAATTGAGGACACGGTCGATTTGCCCGTGGCGATGGAGCCCGTAAGGCCAATGAAGAGCATCCTGGCTGTTGGACGTTGGGACTCGGTAATTGTGAAGGGTTGGATGATTTGGCTGTGGTCTGCGACTTTGGGCAGAGAATCTTGTAACAGAAGCTACCTTGACGGATCAAGAATTCCCACTCTGATGATAAGTACCTCAATCAAAAAGATAAGATGAAGTAAGGATGGTGGTCTGATCGATGGCGTTGATGATCGGATCTGGTGGGGTCCAACTTACCGAGGTCTAGCGTTCCACCCCGCCAAACCTTGAGCCTCAAACGAAACCTCATTTCAACGTCACCGTCACAAGCTTCGTCACCAACGAGCATTTCGGTACACAAAACGTTCTCACGGGATATCTTCGTGAATTTTCTGTCAATCTCGTTCTGGCCTGCATCCTTGAATCATCATTCATTCGCATCGAGCATGTTCCAAACCCTACCCAGAACCCATTCACCTTCCCGACTGGCGACTGAACGCTGATCTGCAAGTCGAGGATGGAGCTGTGGCCCTCTGGCATCTGCTCTGAGGTGTCAGTCAAGTCTTATTATCAAGTATGGCTGACAAGCAAACGAACATGTCTGTGGTTGGAATCACGCCGAAGAACTGTGCAGTGCGCCTCCAGCGCACGAGGAAACCAAAGCGAAAGCAAAACCTGATCCCTGTTTCAATACCGTGTCAGCGTAGAACACAGTTGCAAAAGATGAACTCTGAAAGTACCATTGTGGACAAGAATACCCTAGGGTGTAAAGCCAAGCCTTGCATCAGCAACAGATGCCTAGCCCAACTGGAGCAGTGTGAGCAAACGGCTGGAATTGAAGAAACAAACACGTACTTACCTTATGCTATGCAGAATCGGTTCCTAGTTCGGAAGACGGACGGCATAGAAATAGCCGCCCTCAGAGACGTACCAGCGGCAATCGCCGAGGTTGTCAATAGTATACCGGTTGCGCTGGGTCCAGTTACCATCCACCTCACGGACCGGGTAGTAGCGCGAGGGGTCGTCATCGGCAGGTTTAAAGTCCTGGGGCTCATAGAGGCCGTTGGCGTAAGCGAACTGGGCGTTCTCCAGAGCCACCTCGCCAGATGTACGACCGACGCCAGAAACGTCGGGAGGAAGATGAAGAGGGTTGTTACCTGCGACCAGCATGCTAGGAGGAGGGGCACCAGGGGGGCCGCCACCGCCACCAACAACGCCGCCAAAGCCCATGGCTGCGTGAGGAGGACCCATCACCATGCCGTTACCCATGACGGGGTAGCCAGCCATGCCGGGCTGAACCATGGGAGCATTCATGACCATGTGCTGGGGGACCATGCCGGGGTTGTGGGGCATGCCAGGCTGGAAGGGGACGACCATGGGGGGATGAAGGCCCATCTGGGTTCCAATATAGGTAACGTTACCGGGCTGCTGCTGTAAAGAAGGCATGTCAGAAAAAGGCCATATCGGACCAAGACAAAATTGAAGACCAGGCATGGAGCTGATTTCTCTCAACCACTTGGCAGGAACATCAAACTCTACATGGGACGACTTGCATAGTAATGATAGTAGGCGGGGCTGTTGTTGGGAAGGATGGGACGGTCGACCAGATATCCAGCAGGCGGGAAAACAGTGCGGGGAACAAAGAAAGAAGGATCGTTACAGACATTCTGACCATGGACAAAGTAGGCCCCGTTGTCAAACCGAGGGCGGTAGACATGGGTCATTGGTCCGTAGGTCGTGTCAGGAACGGGGGGCTGGTAGCTGGGGCCAGCAGGGCGAGGACCGCCGAACTGGTAATCGGCCATGGCTGGGTCGGGGATGATGTGGCCGGGGTTGGTGTTGAGCGGAATCTGATCGATGGTCGGAAGCTGGTTGCTGCCGGGGTTCTTGAGGTTGGCAGAGAAGTTGATATAGCCAGCAGGGCCAACTGAGCGGCCAGGGTTGGTCGAGAAGTGTGTTCCGTAGCTGACGCCGTGCGTAGGGTTGGCGCCGATGATGGGAGCAGGACGGTAAGTTTTGTTGGTGTTGTTGTTTCGGTTGCCGACGCGGTCACAGTCGCTTTTATGCTTTTCGTCGGGCTTCTCGCTTCCAGACGAGGAAGGAGCGTCTCCTTCACGCTCCTTCTCCTTCTCCTTCTGCTTCTGCTTCTGCTTCTGCTTGCCGTTGCTCAGAGAACCAGAGCCAGAAGCACGGGCCTCATCTTCCTCGTCCGAAAAATGAACCTGGTGATAGGCTCCCTCCTTCTTCTTGGAAGGCTCGGTAGTTTTGGTCATGGCGGAAGGTGTGCGCGTTGTAGTCATCCGGCCTTCAGTGTCCAATCTGGTGTGGTGGTGCGAGGCTTCTTGGTATTGAGGTGCGTGACAAGAAGGCAACGTCACGTGGTGGTGTTGGAAGCAAAACAGTCTCGACAAGGGACTGTCTGAAATTCTTTTGTTTCTTTTGGGTTATCTCGTGGAGACCCTGCTGCTGGAACCAAGATAAAGGCGGCTTCAAGATCGGAGCCTGTCGAGCTACCTCGACGTCGCCCCGGAACGCCCCGACAAAGTACCAGTTTGTGCCCGCAAAGCAGATGCCACATTCACAACTAGAGAGAAGGTCCTGACGCCTAAGCCAGCACAGCCCGCAGCAGCTGTCACACTGGCGACAGTACTCAAAGACTCCGCTCAAAGGCGAGGAGAGCAGCCAGTGAAGTCAACTGATGCTGATGCTGATGCTGATGAGATGCAAAAACAAAAGCTGCCTTTCTCCTACAATCCACCAACAGAGCTTGCCGAAAATATACCCTAGGTAGAATCTAGGTAGGCCAGACCCACGAGTCAAAGCCTTCCAGCATCCCCTCATTGTTCAAACGTTGCCGCGGATATTCACTTGAACCCGTCATACAGCAGAGGGCACAGACTCGATCGAGCAAGAGACTCTAAGGGGCACTCGTGTGACACAAAAGAGACAGACACATTCACCTACACGTTTGAGCACGTAACGGCCATTCTCTGGCACGTATCGCCATTGCCGTGGGGGTGCCTCTTCCTCGTACGCGATGTCGGTGAACTTGAAGCACATGTTGGTTGCTCTGTTGCTGTGCAGGCCTTTGGCAGGTCCAAATCGATAAATCTAATCAGACGTTATCACTGTGTTTTTCGGAAAGTGCACAAAAATGTTGAGAGGGGATGATTTCAAGGAGGAAGGGTAGGTGCTCGAGGTAGGGCAAGTTCGCTCGTGCGGGGGCCTGCGCTGTGTGTGGCTGAGGAGACTGAATCATAGATATGGGAGGGGAGCTGCCCTATGGCGAGGCATCAGGCCAATATTCTTCCCGGTTTGCCATACCCTTTGCCATTTATCGAGATTAGCTTGGTACTTGATATTCTACGCCCAGCTCTGAGTATTGCAAACCCCCCAGGACTCATCTGGTGGTGAGTATGGTAAGCCTTTACGCCACTCATTCTACAATTCTAGGCCATGCAGGAGAAGATCTTGGGCTTAAGGGGTGATGGAGATTCCATCCTTGCCAAGAACTGATTCATATGATACAGTTGTTCCGTATGCACAGCTGCTCATTTATTCGGCACCGCCCATCGTGAGTCGCAATGGCTTTGGCATGGCTCCCCTAAACCCTGAGTTCAGTTTGTTCATTCAACGGTCTTCTCACGTCCTTGCTCCCAAAATCGAGCAGTGCGCGGCATATCAGGGTGCGCGGCATATCAGGAATGAAGGGGAAGCATTCACTCGTTCCGGTATCACATTTCCTCGGCCAAGGCCAGATTTCTCCCAACACAGTTGTGTCTTGAGCAATTTTCTGTTAGAGGCTGTGAGCTCGATGGCCTCCTGCTGTGTCTGTTCGGTAACGTGTTTGGTGAGGTGATTCATCGTCCCCAGCCGAACCCTGAGATCTCTGCGGAAAGCATGCTCGGGCTGTCGGGCTGGTGATGTTTCAATAACGTATTTGTGTAAGGATTAATTTGAGTAGAGATGCTTGATTGTGGGGAAGCTTTCGGGTGTGCATGATGTCGGTACCCTCAATGGCTCTGTGAACCTAGGACTCGGAGGTAGGCATGGCGATTTCGCTTTGAAGTCTCCAGCGTGCGGCCATCTAGGTCTAGAAACTGTTAGCAACCGAACAGCACTGCGAGGGTGATGAGCTGTGCCTTCTCGGGGATCCCACCTTTTTTTCTGAAATGCCTCGACCTTTGCCCTCCGGATCAAAACTGCGACTATCAGAGGAAGGCCGTGCAGGAACCTGCCCTCGCTAGGAAAGATATATTAATAGTAGTCGTTCCACTCATACAAACATCTGATTTCAGTCCCGCGTCGAAGAGATTGTCAAATTTCCAGCTGAACACATCCATGTGAATGCGCGCAACATAGACTCTGTCTGATAATACATGCCAGAGTCCGCTTCTCAACAAGTCGGTACGAGTACGGCTCCTTGGCATTGGGGTTCCAGAGGACAAAGGTCGGGTTGTAAAAGGTCCCCAGATGCCCAGTATGGCGCATGAGGTTGCCAAAGTTGAAGCCATCGTAGCGCTCATGTGTGGCACGGAGATAGTGAAGACAAGTGACAAGGGCGTCGAACTGGTCGTGAACTGCTCCAGTAGTGCGAAGGGTGTCTCGGGGCTTGCGGTGGTGGGGTTCGATTTTGCCGTCAACTGTGGTACTGAGGGAGAGACTGGAAAAATTAATACCGTAGAGACTGCGAGTGAAGACCTGGCCATAGTGAATAAGATGCCATCCAAAATATGGACCGTTGATTGCGGGATGTGGATTCAAGCTCGTTAAGCTCGTCTCAGACCAGGTGCACCTCCTGGTCGATGCTCATCTGCAACGGCAGATGGCAGTCACAAGCGCTACCGTGCTGTCTTTCAACAAGAGAATCTATTTCCATGTGAGCAAGCACCACAACCCATCAAGCTTTCCAAAAAATGCACTTGTCACGAGACACACTCACTTCAGTTGGGGTAACAAAAGTCTGTCATTTCGACCGTCCTGCCTCGCACGGCAGGATCCGAACGCCTGTTACCGTCCGATGCGTTCTTCTAGCGCTCTTCCGCCTTCTACCATAGTATACAAATGTCACAGGCACACATGGCCCCTTGTGCCCAAAGAGGAGAGAGATCCGTTCCGTCGCAATGCTCCGTGAAGTGAACTGGCCCCCTCCACACCGTGCCGCAGAGGAAAGCTCCCAATCGTTTCCCCGCGGCTTTCACTTTTTTACTTCGGTCTGCCGCTACTCAAACATGCACGGCGTGCCTCGGCTCAGGCTCGCTCCAACTCCGCTCGGCGGGTCTCGAAACAAGAAAGACCTCGTGCCACAGATCTCAAGGTCTATTATCAGAAGGTAAAGGAGAAAATTGGGATGTAAGGCGTTTGCGTCGTTGTTATTACAGAGTGGCGTGCTCGTGCTCGCGCTCGTTGACCTCGGGGATCGTGAAGAAGGTCCTGCGGGTGACCTGCACGACTGTTAGCATTCTATGCTCTGACTAGAAAGAGAAGGAGGGGGGGGGGGGGGACAAGCACGTACAGCCCAGGCACCGGCAACACCGGCAACGATACCTCCAGAGATGAGCATGGGGCGGAGCCCCCGGGTGCTCTTGAAGAGCATGCCGCTCAACGCGCCAGCGGCAATGGTGTTGGCGGCGTCGTGCTTCCCCCTGAAGTACCCGATGGCGCCGTTGAAGCAGTTGTAGGTGATGGCGACAACGCCGGCGGAGTTGCCGAGGAAGGGACCACGGCGGGTGACGGCGTTGAGGACGGAGTTCAGGCGCAGCTTGGGCGGCTGGTTGACGGACCGCCTCAAACCCTCCTGCAGGCCCCAAGCACCTCCGAGGCCGAGGGCGGTGAGATATGTGACGCCGGCGCCGTAGCAGAGATCATCTGTGAAGCCGCGCGAAGGAAGGACGGACTGGCCGCCTGGGACATCGGAGAGGGCGGCGTCTTCGAGGGAGAGGTATTCGAGAGTGTCCTTGTTGAGACCGGAAAGAGGGTGTAGTTGAGAGGGGTCGGAGAAGCTGGAGCTCTGGAGAAAGGCCTCGACGCCTTGTCCTTGGGATGGGTCGAAGGCCGTGGACTCGAGGGTCGATCTGGGCTGCGAGGGGGGTTGCGCCGGGGCGGACGTAGCGACCGCGTCCTTCTGCGAGGACTTTTGTCCGCTAAAAGTGTTCCAGAGAGACGACATGGCTGTGAGAGATGTAGGTGTGATGACGGTGGGTGTACTTTCTTGTCGTGCTGCCGCGGAGGTTGATGTGGTGTTGAGCCCGAGGGGATTCAGGAGGCCAGTAGCGCGGCTGTAGTCGGAGCCGATGATGATGATTTGGGAGGTGTCGAAAAAAATTGGCCGCCGTCTGGGCCAAGTTCGGGCTCGCCGCCCCAGCGCGACATGGCCCTTGCGCAGAGGAAGAGCGGCATCGGCTATTCGCCGGTAAATACTGGGCGTGGATGAGTCAGCCGTTCGAAATCTTGTGGTGCTTCCTGCGCCTGCTTCTAGGGTAGTGGTGGGTCAAAGCCATGCACGTTCGTGGTTGCTCTGCTTGTTGTGCTTCATTCAACTCTGACCTGACCACGATCATCGCATAGATATGGACTCGTGCGTAGCGTTCATCCATAGCTCCATCTTCAAGCCCATTGGAGGTGCTCAGTGGCCCGCCATCGTCGAGGATGAGGACGAGGACAAGGTGGCACGGTCATACTCGATGAATCCTATGGGGCCATGCCCAGTCTGCGCCGACCCATTCAATGCTGCGGGCAGGAGATGCTGGAGATGTCAGACCCGCCTGACAGCAAGCCGGAAATCTGTCGATCAACAGACAGGGCTCGCTAGACTAGTCGACCACGCTTTTCACGATGGAGATGGAGGGGCGGTACCAACCGACCGTAAAGGTCATTCAGGGAGACGAGACAAGCGACAGACCGATGCAGGTACACAGTCCTGGCAACCTACCGACGGCTGATTGATTGCGACGCCCGGTTGGCTGCGCCTCGAGCAAATTTAACTATGTAAAAAGCGCGCATCGACCAATCACACCCAGACGATAAGATCAACCTCGCGAATAGGAACCGACATGAAATTCTCTGATGACCTGGACAGCACGAACTAGAGGTTCGAGCTTACGATGTATGGACTCTGGGGCCGCTCTGGAGAACCCAGCACCGTGGGGTTTGTCGGGAAACAGACACCGAATCGTGAGCGACGCATTTGCGATCGACTTGAAGCAGGTCATAGGAACGTTGGCGCTGGGGCTGGCATGGAGGGCCGCGACACCACTGCGGCGAAGTGAAAAGCTAGAATGTGACATTCGTGCAACACCAGCCACTGCGCACCTTAAAAAGCAAGCCGATCTCACTTTCAGGGGAAACACAAACGCGCGTGCCGGCATCGGCCTGCAGGTTCCGAGACGAAGCTGAGGGGTCAATCCTCTCGGAATAGATACCACGAGAGAGGAAGAGAGAAAAATACCTCCAGGGCCGCGAAGCCGCAGACTGCTATACAAGTACAGGCGCAGATACAAACAGGGCGGAGGAAAATACCCTGATGCGCCAGTCTCCATTGGCTCCTGACCAGGCCGACGTTGGCGCCATCCACGATGGAGAGAAGCATGGGACACCTGGGAGGGGGGGCATGATACCTGGGGAAATCATGCCAGGCCGTGCTCCCAAGCCAGAGGAATTCCATAATGTGCCTCTGCCACCTGGGTCCGACTCGCAGGCACGATGCCATCACTCGAATGGTCTGCAGTATTCCATCCTCTGGACGTGCGGGGACGCGCGAAACTCGAGTCTTCTCGCCGCAGACGGAGGCTATCGCCAAAAACTGATGCCACGATGCTGACCTCGGCCGCAGGTGACCAGGCGAGCTGGCTGGCAGGTGAGAGAAAGATGTGGTGGGGGTACACCGGAGCACACTGACAACCTGCATGGCAATCCCACCCCCCCTGAAGTGGTATTCGGGGTCCTTATCTCGAACTCAAGACTGGCTGGGCTTTTAGGTTGGCAAGGAATCCAGGTTGCCAGTCTCGACACCCCTTCACCCACCCCACCTCCCTCTTCCCCAGGACACAGAGCATACGAGCACAGAGGTTCTCGTAGATAAACCGCCCTAGCCCCTCAGCTCTCCCTTCTCCCGACGATCTGCTTGTTTTACTTTTCTGTCCTTCTGGCTCAGAGATAGATTTTTGCTCCTTTCCTCCTTCACAATTGTCCCCCGCTAACAACGCGACAATCCGCAAAAATGGTGAGACCTGTTCCCCCTTCACCCCACCGTCTGCTCGCCGCGCTCTGGCGCTCCACATCTCCGGGGCCGGACCGGCGGTGTCCCACAATTTCCTACCGGAATCACGCACACGATACTAACATGTTGTCGCAGGCGACTTCCTCCTCCAACATTTCCAGGACCGACACTGTGAGCTCACAATCAAGGCCGGCGCATGGTTTCCGGGCATGCTGACGCAACATGACAGTTGTCGAAGTACCTGAAGCTCGACCAGAAGGGCAGCATCATGGCCGAGTACATCTGGATCGATGCCGCTGGCGAGACTCGTTCCAAGTCCCGCGTAAGCAAATCTACAAGATCCCACGTCAGCCGCAGGGTGGCCCGACGTTTCAACTGCTAACATATGTCTCGCGACATAGACGCTGAAGGAGCAGGAGTACACGCCTGATGACCTTCCCACCTGGAACTTCGACGGTTCCTCCACCGAGCAGGCTCCCGGTGACAACTCTGACGTCTACCTCAAGCCCGTTGCCGTCTTTCCCGATCCTTTCCGTGGCACTCCTAACATCCTCGTCCTCGCCGAGTGCTGGGATGCTGATGGCTCGCCGAACAAGTACAACTACCGCTACGAGTGCGCCAAGACCATGCAGGCTCACACTGCGCTCGAGCCGTGGTTCGGCCTCGAGCAGGAGTACACCCTGCTCGACCTCAGCAACCGTCCTTTTGGGTGAGACAGCACCTTGTAGCCAACGACAGTGTGTAACGTAAGCTGACCCCTCCCGCCAGCTGGCCCTCGAACGGTTTCCCCGCCCCCCAAGGCCCCTACTACTGTGGTGTCGGCGCCGGTAAGGTCGTTCAGCGCGACATTGTTGAGGCGCACTACAAGGCCTGCCTGTACTCCGGTGTCAAGATCTCTGGCACCAACGCCGAAGTCATGCCTGCCCAGTGGGAGTTCCAGGTCGGCCCCTGTGTCGGTATCGAGAGTGAGTTGTCCCGCCGCCTGCCATTGCCACATCTCCGACGTGTGTGCTAACATGTACCAGTGGGTGACCACCTCTGGCTCGCCCGTTTCCTCCTTGCGCGCATCTCTGAGGAGTTTGGTGCCAAGGTGTCCCTGCACCCTAAGCCCATTCCTGGTGACTGGAACGGCGCCGGTCTGCACACCAACTTCTCCACCAAGGATATGAGGGTAGAGGTAAGCTCACATCGCTTTACCGCTCTGGAGAATGCGGCTAACAAGACCAGGGTGGCATGAAGTACATCGAGGACGCGATCAAGAAGCTTGAGGGCCGCCACAAGGAGCACATTGCCGTCTACGGTGAGGACAACGACCAGCGTCTGACGGGCCGCCACGAGACGGGCGCCATCGATCAGTTTAGCTGGGGTGTCGCCAACCGCGGCGCTTCCATTCGCATCCCCCGCGAGGTCGGCGCCAAGGGCTACGGATACTTCGAGGACCGCCGCCCCGCCAGCAACTCTGACCCTTACAGGATCACCCACATTATGATGGAGACATGCTTCGGCGCTTCGGACTAAAGAAAGGAAGAAAAAAAAAAGGCAGATACCCTCTTTCGCTACTACTCTGGTGTTGAGCTGGCACGGAAATTCCGGGCCAGCTGCGCGTGGGTTAGATGTGGGTGCACGGTAGCTTATTCCCCCAAATGAGAAATGGTGTTATGATCAATGACAAGATGATGCCATTGGCTGATGACACAAGCTGAATGATTATTATTTTTGGCATATACGACCAAGCGGAACGCTTCCTCTCGCATTAAGAATGACCATCTCGAGCTTGGGCTCTCCTCAGCTCGCCACATTATCGAGCATGGTGTCAAGTTTGCGTACGTGACACATGAGGCAAACCGCCCATCATTTTCAATGGCCGTGTCATTACTGGCCGAGGGTTCTCATCTTGCGGCCAGACCCGAATGTACAGTTCCGCTGCCTAGACAGCCATTTCTCCCTATTGGGTTGGGCCAACGTATGAAGAGGAAACCGTCGAGTGTAAAACCGCGAACTGGGGGAAACGACATCTCCACACTAAGATGAACCAAGCGGCATGTTCACATTCGGCATTTTCCCGCGCACGGTGGTACAGGTCGAAACTGACAAAGTTTGCAGAGTTGATGCCGGATTCTGTTTGCGCACGTTCGTGGAGCGTGTCACCACGGCATCTCGCGCAAACATAGTCATGGTCATCTCGCCTTAAGAAAGATGCCTTGCCCCCCGCCGCCCAAGATCCTAGGCACTTAATGCTGGACTATGTTCTCGGCAGGATAGGGCGTGCAAGTCTTGTCCTAAGCATTCCTGCCCACGACCTACTGCTCCAACGCTTCTATCTAGGAAAGGTCACATGTCGCCCATCGAGAATGGCCATCTCAAGCTACGTTGGGGTCGGAGCCTGGATCCTCCAGGTCATTGTCACAAGCTCCTGCTGAGATGAGCAGCCTGCTGATACAATACATAGGCCATCTTCGCCCTCGTCGCGCTGGCTCTGTCGGTCGACCTTCTGCAGGGGCAACTTTACGGGGCCCCGCCAGGCTCGATCCAGTTCGCCGTCTTCGTGGGATCAGTAGGCCTCGTCGTGGCGCTCCTGGGGCTGGCTGGCATGTTTGTCGACAAGATACCTAGCAACGTCGTCATGGTGTTTGACGTGATGAGTGGTCTGCTACTACTTGGCGGCGGCATTGTCAGTGTCCTTGCCGTGCGAACCGATGCCCGATGGTGGGGTTCGTGCTGACAGTCGTGCAGGCGTATGCAGTTGCTCTCGGTGGCATCGAGTGCGAGAGGCATGAGAACCTGGACGAAGTTGCAGGGAACGATTGGTGGGAGAGCCCAATTGTCAATGCAGGTTCTGAGAACTACCATGGAACCCGAAAGCTGGACTTGCGGCGTTGTCAGAAGGCGTATGCGAACCAGGCTATCCAGTTTGCATGTGCCGTCACAGCCCTAGGAACGGCATTCCTCTGCTACTTGGCATGTAGGAGGACTGGTGCAGGTTGGGCAAGGCCGGCCATGCCTTAAAATGAAGTGCTCTGGCAACGGAGGAAGTGGCGACGCTTCGTGCAGGTGCGAAGATCCGCACCACACCGCGTCTCCCGTCCGTATGCATGTAGTATATCAGGAAGCCAACGGATTGGTTGTGTGCACGTTTGGTAATTCGGAAACGCTGAAGATCGCTATCCGCAAATCGCCGACGATATGAATGCGAAATGGAGACTATCCAGCATCAGCGTCTCCGACGGGGACGCAGATATCGCGTATGAGCCGCAAGTAGACATCAAAGGATGACTAAGGCGACCAGACAAGACGACGAGCTCTTCAATCCTGCCGTCTTTCAAAGATGGAACTCTCATCAAGATGCAACACCAGCCACGCCGCAGCCTTCAATTGGCTGGGCTTCTCGTCACAAGGATTGCTCAGTCAGTCGAGCATATCGGTCAAAATCTGTCTGAAACCACCCCCGCGTCCTGGACTGAAATACGTCCACGGCAGGTAGAAATGGAAACATTTGTTATTGGGGGCCGGGAACGGAAGAAAACCCATCGAAAACGGATAACCCTCAGCAAGCCGCATAGCGGAGCCGCCGTTAAGTTAAAATACACATGACGGTGTTTTTTAACCCATACTGATGATGAAGAAGAAGAGAAAAGCGCAGGAGGAGCGACGACAAGAAATCTTTTTATGCTGCTGCAGAGTGGGGTTGGCGGGCCCCTGCCTAGCCTAGAGTCAGCTTTTTTCTCTCTCTGCCTGTTCGGCGCCGACCTCACTGTCTGGTCAAGTTAATTGCCGTGGTTCAACCGGACGGCTTGACTGTTGGCCTGTGCTCAAGCTGCCCGATACCCATCTTTATTGTCTAGGTAGGTACCTTATGTTTGGATGGTCAGTGAGTGATCGATACGAAAAGAAATAATTTGGCATGCTCAGTCGCTGATGTTCAGTAAACCCTCACACTGACGTACATGGGAGATGGTCAAGAAACACGCCAGACTTATTGAGCTGAAGCCATAGAGATATCAAGCTCAACGCACTGAAACGCGTAAGATGATCGGTAGGCATACTTCCCTCACGGCCAATCATTGCCCTGTCGGTCAGGTACATGCACACCTGCCTCAACGAGCCAGCGCCAGCAGGTATGACGCCCTCACGTCATTGCCTGTTGTTTGGTTCCAAGCTCCCACAACAACCGCCACAGTAGGTCGTCGCGTCTGCTGCCGTCGAACTCTTGACCCGTAGCCTTCTCTCACTTGATCATCCTGCCACATTCACAATCAAAGGAAGGTTCACTCTCACCACCCTCCTCCTATTGCCTCTTGCGTACCGTCAACTTTATCATCTCCACAATGGCGCCGGTACCCATCGAGCCGGAGATCGAGTATGTTGATCGCATGCCTCAAATTCAAGAATTCCATCCTGACAACACTCCAGCTATCTCGCGTTCGCAGCAGTTGGCACACACGCCACCAGTGTTGCCGTCTTGACAGCATACGTCGCCCGAAGCCTGTATCGGTCTTACACGTCGCTGTCTCCGGCCCAAGGAACGAGAGAAAGGCTCACGCGGCGGTCGATCCTCACACCGCTTTTCGCAGGCCTCGCCGCCCTAAGTCTTGCTCTGGCAGGCTATACAACCTCAAGATATGCGACCCTGTCTTACAAAGTCTGGGCCGATCAGCGCGCTCTCGAGATTCCCGCCAGGTCAGCCGCCAGTGCCGCCCTGAACCCGTGTTGCTTTCTGCTAACGTTTCTGTCACAGAGTATATGGCGAGAAGGGCATTCTTCCCTATGGCAACAACTCGACCCATGTCTACGTTGCCCGGTGGCTGACCGACACGCCTGTCTACCTGGACGCCCTCGAGATCGTGGCCGAGAAGGCGCGTCGCTACTGGTGGGGTCAGCAGGTCGAGCTCGCTACCATAGCCTGGAGCCTATTGCTGTCCGCCGAAGGCCGCAGGAGGAACATCCCGTTTCTCTGGGCTTACCTTGCCCTGGCGCACCTTGTCAACCTGTCTTTCGCCCAAAACTTATTTTATCTTGCACTGCTTCTGACACCCACGCCGATCATCTCGGCGGGTGAAGGCCCCCCCACATCGGCACTCGGCAGGCTTCGGAACCGCCTGTTCCCTCCCAAGCCGGCAGGTTGGACGCCGAGCGTGGCACTTCTCATGGCAGCACTGACCCAGAGTTTTGGTGTGCTCTTCTGCGTTCCTGCCGTGGCAGGCAGCCCTGGCTTCCCTGCGCTGGCAGTCGCCGGGAAGGCGCTCACGTTTGCACCGCTGCTCATCCCAGCTATCGCGCCAGCCAGCTGGGGCACCGTACATGCGCACCCTCGCGGTGGCTACGGTGACTTGACGGAGCTCTTCCGGTTCGTGTCCATGGCTACCTTTGGCCTGCAAGCCAAGGCAACCGTACTTGGCCTGATCTACAACGCACCAGATGCCCACTACCACCGCCACAGCAAGTTCCTTCCCTTTGACAAGGAGACACGCTCGACACTGGAGCAGACGACCATGGCGTTCAGTAAGATTCTTGGCTCTACGGCGGACCACCCTGTGGTGGCAGCTGCGGCATGGGATGTGCTGCTGAGTGGCGTCAGCTTGGCTGTTTGGGCCGCTGTTCGACCGTTGGACATCAACGACATCCTGGCGTGCGCGACACCATTTTTCAAGAACAGAGTGCTGGAAGCGGATGCGGCCGTTGACGCTGTTGGCGACACGGATGAGCCGTCTGCTGTTGTTGTCCGCAGCAGTGGCCGTACCACGCGGTCATCTGCGGCGAGCTTATCGCCCGCAGCCGAGACGCCGGGTCCGAAACGCCGCGGACGGCCCCGCAAGATTAAGACGGAGGCGAACGATGTGGCCGACGACAGTGCCTACATCCCTTCGTCTACCGAAAGTGCGGCCATCACTGCCGGGGACCAGGTTCCCCAGGAAGACCTAGACTGGGAGGCCACTGCGCTGACCTGGGGTCTCAACGCACTGGGCGGGCTTGGGCTAGGAAGCTCTGGCGTGTTTGGAGCGGAGTGTATTTCGCGATGATTACGAGATGAGAAGCTGCTGTTCCGAGAACTTACGATATGAGGAACGTGCTGGCGGGATGGGCTTGACACGAGTCCAGACGTGGCCTTTTTTGATCCAACCCCCTTCCTACTACGGGGTAATTGAGGGGTACATAGGAGAACACAAGACACGATACCCCAGATTACGATTTGACAGTGGCTGTCTGGGGAAGCAATTAGCAAGGTAATGATTACGTCCGTAAATCTCGACTCGTTCGCCACGCCTCGCCTACTCTGGCAGGTCATGCCTCGTCGTCGCGCACCCGTAATCTCGCGATCTTCCGCTTGCTTCCCTTCTAGAGCTCGCACAAACGCGATGGTGCGTTTGAGTGCGTGCGTACCCCACACGCACCATCTCCGCGAGGGGGGAAGAGGGAAAAAGTCAATTCGGACTTGGCTTTTCCTTCAGGAGAGTGCCGCGATTCATGGTCCCTGTTCTGCTTGGCCACGCCCTTTCCCCACCGGCGCCATTAGAGGAGAGAGATGCGCGGGCAGAGGGCTCGCGCCCATTCGCGGACAGCTCTCCGGCCTTTTTGTCCTTTCTTCATCCGACTTTTTGGCTTTGCCAGCCTCTCCCTCTCTCTATCCCCCCAAAAGCTAACGAGGAACCGGGGACGGACTCCGAGGACCAAGCCGCCGACCCCGTCGCCGGCGGGGAGCTGACGAGTCGGTCTGTTCTGCCGCATGCGGCACCCCTTGAGGCAGGGCGCGCGGCGTGGCGAAGTCGCTGCGCAGGGAGAAAACGTGTCCAGAGACGGACCTCATCATGCCCCCCCGTTACGACGAAATGGACAACGGCAAGAACTATAGACATACGTGCACGGCGCAGCGCAGCGAGTGGGCTGTTCGCTTAACAGAGCCTCAATCATCAGAGCATGTAGCCACCTCTGCCGCGATGTTTCTCCCTCGCTGTACATGGTTATCTGCTCTCTCTCTTGTCTCTGATGCCCTCAGCCCCCCGCCCCCGCCCCATACAGCGACCAGGATCACTGGAGGGGCGAGGAATGAAGGACCCCGTGTCCAGAGTCACGAGGGCTTCTCAGCTGGAGCGGGCCGCGAACCAGGTGAACAGATTCTGAGCACTGCGCACTCCAGGGGTTTACAGGGCCACGGAACGTGTCCTCGGGGAGGGAGAGGCGGGGATCGGAATGCGCGAGCACGAGAGAATCGGTCTCTGACACGAGGCAGGTTCGCTTGAGGCGCTGGACGGGGCATGGAAGAATGAAATGCCTTCGCACTCAGGCACAGGGACGGCACGGACGAGGTTGGCGTTCTTGTGAGACCTGGGCTGAGCCGCTGCACTCACTCTCTCACGCGAATACGCGGGCGGGCAAGCCTCATCCGCCCTGGCCGGGAAAAGAGGTGGAGAAAGTGGCATTTCATCACGAATCCGAAAGGGGTGTGTGTATTTGTGATGAGCATCTCGAAAGAATGGACAGATTCAGCCGATGCTTATTGCTTCGGATCTGACGGGTGTGAAGGGCAGGGCGATGTTGGTCGTGGCACGTCACGACGGCGTGCATGACGGACGTAACGGCCGAGGGAACCCAGAGGATCGAGGCACCTTGGGTCCGGTGACGTCGCGTGAGGAGGCTCTGTAGGATTCGGGGGGCATCGTCACTTCGGTTGGACTGTCCGATGACCGGCTAAATTGCAGCTGAGTGATGATGGAAACTTGGGCATCG